TTACATAAGAAAAGAGTTATTTTTTCATGACTTATCACAAGATTATCAAAGTTACGTATTATACAACTTGCCATAAATTATGGGTATATAATAAATATATAATATAATATTATGGAATCTTAATTTGTCATAAAAATTGAAATTGTCCTTTCACTACTCAAACAAAATGTAAAAAGCTTATATGAAAAATTTGTGTCATGAATATACCTGTCTTATTTTTATACATTGTAGAATTGTAGCAATAACATCAAAATGAGCTTATCATAGTCCCACTTTTCTTACAAAGTTGTCCCTCTTTGCTGCGCTCAGTCTGCAACACGTGTTGCAAGTATAACGTAGGCTTTGTTACATCAATAATTGAGTTGCTACGAAGTTTACAAACGCAAAGCTTTATTTTCAAAGTGCGTTTGCACTTTGAAAAGATTTTTACAGAAGAATTTATTGTTATATGATAATCAGATATACAGAAGATTTTATAAAAAAAAAGAACTGACTTTGAGAAAGTTGCTTTAAATAATTTATTTATACCAAGAAATAATTATATATCATATAAATGTATGTTTTAAAAATGTAAATGTATACAATTATACGATACTATGTTTTAAATATTTATAAATATTTTATATTTGTAAAAAAATATAAAAAATGATGAATTGTATATCATAAAATCTCTTGGTAATGCATCCGAAAATGTTAATATTTTCGGTTATAAAGTGACAAATTCCTTTCAAAATAACCTCCTTTCATAGTAACCTTCTGACTTAACAAGGGTGTATAGATTCCATTGCGTAATACTAAATTTATTCCTGTCCCACGCACCTCACATGTCATTTAGTGTCAAGGAATGATGACGGAATATCACTTAGCAGGGCAACCCTAGTACATTTTCTTTCGCCCAATAGTAAAGGGACCCTAATATCAATATCTACATCCTCTTTTTATCTCTCAATATACCACTACATATCTAATATAAAAAGGAAATGACGAACAACATCATTATGATAACGCAAATCTGCTGATTATGTACATCATATCGTCAATAAAATGCTTGAATGTTAAAATGTAATATTGAAAAATTGGAATTGCGTGAATGAATAAATCATTGTATACCTTTTTAGAAGAAAAAAAGCTTCTAAAAGACTATGGTAGATTTTTTACTTGAACAACATTGTATAACTGTTTGAATATAATTTTTAATAAATTGCACATAAATCACAAATTCTTTCATATAAAATGACATATAGAATTCTGAAGCTATAAGATTAAATTGTGTTAATTTTATTTCTATAGGTTTTTTTTAGTTAATTTAGAGAATGTCTTCTCACTGAAAATATAAAAGCACTTGATTGTTTTTAAGTACTTACAAAATAAAGCGTTTTTTATAAAAAAAACTTTAATAAAAGTAAGTAACAAAAACATATTTATTAATTATATATCATATAAATTCAACTTTATTAAAGAATTTCAATTTGCGATGCTTAGTTATAAAGATATATTAAAAGATATATTAAATATTAAAAATTGAAAAGTTGTGATTTGTCCCAACTCTCGTTAAAAAAAAATTGATTTTAAATTCACTGATTATAATTAAGAGAAAAGCATATTTGAAAATAATCATGGTAGCAATTTTTTTAATTCTTACTTAAAATAAATAATTTTTTATATATTTTCGAAATATATAAAATAATTTTTGAATATATCTAAATATTTAAAAGTAATTAAACATATAAATTCTTTGTGATGTCAATAATTAAAATCAAACGATAAAATAAAAATAATTTAAAAAATTACGTTTTATATTTGTATATAGTTGTCATATGACAGTGTTCTTAATTTGTAACTGCTTTATTTGTACTTTATTTGTAGTTTTAATTGAAACCTTGATTTTAAACAAAAAAGAAAAAGAATATCAATGCAAAATATGTAATATTACATATCT